GACTCCCGCGCGTCGACCCCTGCGCCCGCGGGCCCGCCGGCGGAGGCGGGCGGCCGGCTCCGCCGCCGCCGGTGGCTGCTGCTGACGTGGCGGCGGAAGAGCGTCAGGTAGTCATGGATAGAAGCTTCCACCAGCTGCCGCAGCTGGTTGCCCTGCAGCGTCGCCACCGCCCTGCGCAAGTGGGCACGCCAAAGGCGGGGGAAATGACGGCTCTGCGGCCCCAACCATGCGCCTCGTGGGACCCGCCGCAATGGGTATGCGTTTGCTGCAAGCACGCTGCCGTGTTGAAGAAGATGATAGACTGAGCCAACGCCCTGAGTCCGCCCCCAAAGTGGCCGCAGCTGCCTGGATCTCGCCAGCCGCCGGTGAGTGCACATACAGACCTGAAGTATGCGGCGGCGTCGCCGTTTATGGGCACCGGCGGCATGCGCCGGAAGACGTCGGCGCACTTTGGCAGCCAGTGCGTCCACAGCTGCGCCTTGAGCTGCTCGCACACGGACAGCTGGTAGGCGCGGAAGGCCTCCGCCTGCGGGGGCGCGGCGCGTCCGATGGCCGCCAGGCACAAAAGCGATGATGCAAGTGGCAAGGCGCTCGAAACCCAGGTTGCATACTGTCATTTGCTGAACACCTGTGCTTGGCCGTTTTGCGACGACGTGGCATGTGCCAAACGCGCAAGCGATATGTGGCCCGCAACAGCGCTTGACCGTGCAGCTGGTGCAAGAACCCGCAAACTGCTGCACCCGCTGCAGGGCGCTCAAACTGTGCATCCCTCGCTACAGCCCCCCTCTCTTGCTGCGCCCACGGCGGCCGCTGCAGTCAATAGTCATTCTTTGGCCGCACACCTGTGCCGGCAGCCGCGCCAGGAACTCCCCGCTCTCCGTGTCCACCAGCCGCGCCGCCACGTAGCCCGCGTCGAACCACACCTTTCGCAGCTCCAACGCGTTTGGATTGAGCGTCTGCAGCGTCCAAGCGATCTCCTCCCTGGCGGACGCAACGTGGGCGGACCACTCCTGGGGCAGCCGCCGCGAAGCTGCCGCGGCGGCTGAGGTCTGGAAGGCCGGCAGGTGGTAGCGGGCGCCGCCGCTGCCGACCAGCACGCCGCTGCCGCCGGCGCTGGGGCCGGCAGGGTCGTAGGCGGCTGTTGCATGATAGCGGGCAGGCAAATCAAATTGTACACGCTGTGTTGCGCCAGGCTTCGGCATGGGCTTGCCATGCATGCCAGGCTGGGCGCAGGGCAGGCCTTCAACTTGCACGCATGCGCGGCCGAGGCAATGCAGACCGCGGAGCCTTACCCGGCCGCAGCAGCGGCTCCAGAGGCTCCAACATGAGACGCTCGCGCTCCACAGGGGCTGTGCGCACGCGTCAAATGGTGCAGAGGGAGCCTTCCCGTCAGCCTTTGAGTCAGGTGCGGGCAGGCGGTGCAGGCTTTGCGAGCACACGTGATGCCAAAAGCCCTACAGTCACCACAGAAAACCCCGAAGTGGCCCGAACAATGTGCTTGTTGTAGAGGAAAACGCTCGGCCGCCGGCGCCCGGGAGCATGCTGATGCACGCCACCTGGCACGCGGGGTCCGCAGCTCTGCGACACTCACACGCGATTATGTAATCCAGGACGGCCCGCTTCACCGCGCGCTCATAGTCATCGCGCAGCTCCTCCACGCATGACGACAGGATGACGTCACGGCGCTCCTTGGGTGACGCGAGAAGGCGTCGGGGTGCACTCACGCATGCCATCAGTAGTGCTGGTGAGGCTGGGCTGCTGCGAGATTGCACAACAAGACCGCGAGGACGGCATCTACACGCGGCGGCAAAGCCCAGTCAATGGACCAACACCACAAATTCGGCCATTCAGGGGTTGTGGAGGTGTCACAGGGAGCTGCGTCACTCACCTGGCTGATCCCGGGTGCCTCTGGTGACACCAAGCTCAGCGCGTTGCCCAGCCACTCCTCCCTGTCGGAGTGTGCGGCACCAGTAAGCAAAAGAAGGCGACACAGCCGAGCAATCGTGCTGACGTGCGCGCAAGCAATGCGCGCACGAACCCGCCAGCCTCGACGCGTGTGGGGCGAGATGCACTACCAGCAGCAGCAAGGCCCGGGCGCGCATGGGCAGTCCAGGTCCACGGGTGGACTGCAGGCAGCACATGCAAGGCACATGCAAGGTGCCACACGCACCGGTAAGGTGCCACGTGGCAGGCATCGATGCCGTGCTCTACATAAAAGTGGTACCGGAGGATTGCATCTGCAACCTCCAGTTCGAAAAAGCTGCCGCCAACACCGCTGCCGCCGCCGCCGCCCGCGGCGCCGCGGCCAATGGCGGCGCCGCGCAGGACGGGGCTGGTCGCGCCGAGCTGTCGGGTCTCCCGCTGCGGCTGCGAGGGCCCCAGGTTTGGGCTGGTCGCGCGCAGCGGGTTCCCCACGGCAGCCGGGCTGCCCGGGCGTGCGGGCAACGTGCCGCCTAGCTGTGCGGGGATCGGGCTGCTGGCGCGCAGCCCGCTGGTATGCGTCAGCCCCAGCCCGGCAGGCCCCGCCGTGTGGCGCAGCGGCGGG